TCTTCGCAGCAGAAATTGCTGAAATACTACTTGCATTTGTCTGTTGCTAATTTTAATCTTGAGTTGTGTTCAAATTCGGTTGAACGTTATTGGTTCAGTCTTGAAGGAGAAGGGATGCCTTATAGAAGTATTCTTTTAGAGGAGGTATTTAAAAGTCTCTTCAGGGCGTGGAGGTAAATCTTTTCACTTATTTTGAAAAAAATCTGTTTTTCCATTATATGAATCAGTTGAAAGTCAAGAAGGAAGCATATACATGTGAAAACTGTATATGTTTGAAGTATCGATTTGGCATATCATCCATCTTTTTTCTATGTGCCAATTTTCATAAGAATAGAGAGTACATTCTTGCACGACGCACTGTATGTGTCATAACTTCGTAATTATATTACGTCAATCTTTATTTAAAATGATAAAACATTAAAAATGAAGACGTCGTAAACCTTGCATTTTGTAATTCGTGTGATAGAAACGTTAATAAATTAACTGAAAGTAACGAAAATGCGTAAACAACAGGGAAGCACAGTAATTTTTAAACACCAGTTTGCTTCTGTTCGATTATAACATTACCTTTGCAGGAGAACTTTTTAGACAATAAAAGTTTATTATTATAATAAAGAAAAAATAAATATGGTACAATGTTAAAGCAGCGTACGAAAACGATGAAGATATCCGTTGTCTTGTTTGATTCGGAACAGAAATTTCGTTTGCTTGCCGCGTTTTTTATTTTCAGTCGTTCCATCGTTCTGCTTTGATCAAAACTAATAATAGTCAAAGAGAACCTCGGCCCTCTTTGACCCTCGTAAAGTCGGTGCAAGTTAACGGGTTGTAATTAAAAATCTCTTAGCCACTACACTTTTTGATGAATAAAATATTTGCAAAGTAATAATTACGCCTTTTTTATGGAAGATACCTTTTAAGTATTTTCTGGTGTAGGAAAGGCATTTGCGTAGCAACCGCTGAATAATTCTACAAGCAGTGATTGATAATAGGATAAAAGTTTTCGTTATTCTGAGTACCTTTGAAAATATACTCACAGAATATTTTATCGAATTGCAAATATAACTGGTTATTGATGATTTATTTGTGTTTGGACTGCAGTAATTTAATTCCGTAACCATTGGAATTAAGTTCATATTTAAATAGAAAGATTGAATGTTCGATTACCGTATTAACTTTCTGTCATTCCGTGAAGTAACATTCATTACAGTCCTCGCTAATAGTAGTATATTTCATCGCGACATCATATACTGTATGCACAGGGTATCACATCAACTCAGTTTACCTCAAATTCAAGTTATAAGCGAAAACATTCCTTACAAAAGCAGTATGATTGCGAGAAAGACGTGACATGGTGACAATAGTTTCTTTACAAGTAGAGGCGTAGAGGAGATTTGAAGATCAATTTTGATTTTTTTAAATGGAATGTCCAATTTTTTACGGTCAAATTCGGTAGAATAATGAATTCTGAGTGTAAAAATAATAAGGCATATTTATCCTAAAACTTACCGTTCTTGAGATGTTCTTTGATGTTCTATTTGTCGTAGCCAATTCATCGCAGACCAATAATGCACATCATGTAAATTAGCGGTTACAGTGTTAGTGAAAGTAGCCTTATCATTGAATAATATCAAAGAGAAGATGACTGAATCAATTTGTAACTTTTTTTGAGCCCATATACGAAATCTAACATCATTCATAAAATTCACTCCACGTAATTTCTCATGAAGGCTGATATAATACGATACGTATGAAATTCGCGACGAAGGAGAATTCGCGATACACTGTTTCTGCTGAAACCAGACTGATGTTCAAACTGTCGTACACTAATCTGGCTATAATTCACTACGGCAAGAATATTAATTTCATTGTTTTCACTGTGTCATTGCAGAGTTTATATGACTGCTTTTACAAATAACCATACTTTCGGTTTTATTTAAATTTTGACACTATTTTTTGAACATCGGGTTTGAAGGATACGTGCGGTTCGAATATCTTTAGCATACGAAGCTTGTGTCCTAATCAAATTTTTCTTACGTTTTGCATAAATAAAGAACGTATCTACTTGTTCTTTGAATGAAAATTTCATATTGACAACCTTATGATCACAGAATGAGAAATTTATCAATATTGAGAGATATCGAAAGTTTAACAAATAACATTTCACGATATTTACTATTTACTGTTTGCTTACATCTGAAGTATCGAGCATGTTTCGAACATGTTTCATAATGAAAGTAAGAAGATGGACAAAGTCGAATATCTCAAAAACGGTGAGTTTTATGATAAACACACCTTCCAATTAGTATATTTATACTCACAAGGAAAGTCACCCCACCCCAAAATTCATATTCAATGAAACTTTTCAAGTATGTAGAGTATAATGAGATAGTAAGGTACAATTTTTTTCATTGAAAAATCACTTTGAGCAGGTGAAACCAATCCTCAAAGTTTTCGTGTTTTTCCCCTTTTCGAATGTAATTTTGTAACGGTAGAGCAAAACTTCAAATGTAAGAATTATTCAGTTTTTTGTATTCTATCACTTCATTGGAAAAAAATTGTCCACGACGTAGAATTTTTAACAAATACGTTATTTTGCTATTTTTCATATAAATATTTAATGGTAAGAAATAGAAACAATTGTCATAAAAAAGAATTTATAATTTTGGTTAATATACCAAAATATAAAATAACGTAATTTTTTCAACACCTCATTTGTCATAAACAATTATTTACCCGTGTACCCATATTTTTGCGCCTTTGCGTGATATTTTATTCTATTTGCATTTTTCAACATGGAATAGCTCTTTTCTATTGTGCAGGAGCAGCGAATGCCTGTTTTATATAAAATTTCTTCTCCTTCCCCAAAGATTTACGATAATGGGAAGTTTAGCACTCTGCTCAATAGCCCACGAACATACCATAAACCGCGAATTTCCGAACGGCATCTCTGTATGTAACGGTCCGCTTACCGATGAGTCACCCGGAGGAAATTTCAGATTTTTGGGACCTTCCGCCCACCCCTCGCGACCGTCCATGCTTATAAATAGTATATCGTTAATAATGTGTATCAACATGCTAATAAATAGTATCGTTAATAATGATCATAATCTATAATAATCGATCTAACATAACTGTTAGGTTTTCTGTAGAAACGGTTTATGGCACGATCGACCGGGAACGGTTATTTTTGAGTTCAGGATTTTCGTTTATTGCTTGCACGGGTCT